AATTGAGAAATAGGACCAGTAAGTTTAGTTGAGAGAGGACTGCTATGTCCTTGACTTAATGGGGAGGGGATGTCAAGCCCAGATAAGACGTACAGTGGAATGCATCCAACACATCCTGGGGTCAGGCAGAATAAGGCTTGTAAGCCTTAGGAGTAAGAACACAGATAAAGAGGGAGAGGGAAATAGAAAAGGAATGAGAAGAGACACAGAACAGAAATTTTTCTTGACAATTTTGCAACTATTGTTGCACACCAAAGTTACATGTGATAATACAAATAAAGCAACTTAAAACACAATAGTTACCAACATCCTGCCTAACTTCTATGGTTGGTTGAACAACTTAACCAAGTAGGGAACTCTGGAAAACAAAAGAGAGCAAACAGAACTCAAGTTACCCCATGAGATGGTAAGAATTAGAACAAAGTTACAGCACCCACAGATACTTATAATATACAAAAAGCATACTCAGCTAGGTTCATAGCTGGTCAGCCCCTGGCCTTGGGAGTAATTTGTTGTGTTTCAGGGAGATAAGATTTTTTTCCCCTAATCTGCTTGTCTATTGTTGGCCTCAAGGGTCAGATATAGGTGGACTCTGTTTGTCTTTTAGTTGACCTTGACCAAGATCTAGCAAAGGAAGGTAAAACATAGGCATTAAAAAGCAGAGTGCCATTTACACTGAAATGGAGGCTTATTCTAAAATGACATTTCTCAAATCAAGAAAGGGAAAATACAGTGCCTCTTTTATTACTACTATCACAGTCTAAATAAAAAACATTTCACCAACTAATGAGGAAACTTTACCATAAGCAATTCTTCCAGAATTATGAAGCAGAAAGAGTTCTGGACTTGGAGTCAGGTGATCTTAGTTAGAATCCTAGATATGACCTTTAATAGCTGTGTTATGTGATTATAAATAAGTCATTTAAGGTTTCTAAGCTTCAGTTTTCTCATCTCTAAAATGAAGAGAATCATGCCTTCATAGGGTAAGGAAAGCAACATCACTATATAAATGGTAGTTATTAGCCATTGGTACTTCTAACAGATTAGGTCTCTTAAGTTGACCATGAATGAATGAGTTCATTAGATTGCTTTCTCCCTTTATTGGAGAAACTATAATTCTGAGCTTGGAGAAGGGCATATTGATGATAAAAGAGTAGGAAAGAACACAAAAAGTTAAGGCTGGTGTCCAAAATATAAAATTTTATTTGTATAAATATACACCTCAGCAATTCATCTGTATAGCTTTGAACTGTGAGTCAGGGAGGTTCTGATTGTCATTTGGCCACTATGTAGGAATGAGAACTTAGGCAAATCATGCAACTTTGCTGGACCTCAGTTTCCTCATCTATAAAATGAGGGAGTTCTATTGGATGAACTCTAAAGTGTATTCCAGGTCTAAAATTTCAGGGTTTTTTTGGTTCTTAAGTGTAATGTGGGAAATTAGTCACCCCAAATGGTATTCAGGGAATAATTACCAACATTCTCAGCATTTTTTTGTGGTAGCAAAGATCTGGAAACAAAATAAATGACCACCGACTGTGGAATGGTCAAACAAATTGTGATATATGAATATAATGGAATATTATTGTGCTCTAAGGAACAGCATGATGTAAAACTTGGAAACATGGAAAAATTTACATGAACTGATACAAAGTGAAGTAAGCAGGGTCAAGAAAACAATATACAGACTATAACGATATAAATGGAGAGAACAACCACCACAAAAGTATCAGAACTGAATGTTGAGCAATTATAAAGAACAAACTTGACCTCAAAGCAAAGATATGAGAAGTTATCTTCCCCTCCTCCTTTTCAGAGGATGGATGTTCATGGATATGAAACATTATGTATGACTTCAGGTTTTATCCATGTGCTGATCAGTTTTAATGTTTTTTTTTCTTCTCCTTTTTCTTTATTTTTAAAAAATAAGATACAGTTCTTTTTGAGGAGGTAGGAGAGGGTTATAGAGGGAAATCTAGGTGATTGTGAAAACAAAAAGTCTTTGGTGGTGAGAACTTTCTTTTCTGGGTCTTCAGTGGTTGTGAACACTGTTTGAAGAGGCATTTGATGACTTAAATCCCCCATTAGACTGAGCTCCTTAAAAGCGAGGATAGTTTTTTGCCTTTCTTTGTACAGTTCTCTCTTTCACATAGTGGTTTCCATATATCACAGGTCAGCATAAGAAATTACATGGGAATTTGGGGGGAGTTTTGAGGAAGCCGCAGACAATATGCAAAAGCCAGTAGATGACACAGAAAAAGTTTAGAAACTCAGAAATGCACAAAATATATGTATAGTGTTGTATAATATCAACCCAAATTTTATAATAAGGTACTGTAAGAACCCCATAAAGGAAAAAGAAAAAAAAACCAGACTTCTTCTCTGGTAGGAAGGGAGGGAGGACCAAAACTTTTTATGAAGATTTTCCAAATCAAGGTGGTGCTGTGCCCCTAACCCCCACCATATGGAAGGGATGACTGTATTCCTAAGTATTTAGCACAGTGCCTAGCACTAGTAGGTACTTAATAACTAGTTGACTGACTAACTGACTATATACAAGGTTTATTCCCCTGTATCATTCCCCTGGATGATAGCTTTCCTGGTTTGGCTAAAAGCAGCACTGGTGGGCTGCAAGGTATTGCCATTTCCAAGATTCTTGGGCTTGCCCACCCATTGGGTAGTAGTTGATCAGCAGCTGGTGTTGGTTGTGGCCAAACACAACTCCAGAAGACTGAAGATAAATCATGCTTCCTACCTCTTGGCAAAGAGAGGTAATAGACTGGAGGTATAGAATGAAGTGTGCATTTACAGACACAGTCGTTGTCATTGTTGTTTGTCCTTCGTTCTCCAAGAGGACCATGACATTAGGAAGATGATGCCATGACTTGCAAGTGAATTGGATTTAAGTGAGGGAGGGCTGTGCAAGGTCACCACTCTCACTTTCTCCTCCAGAGCCATTTGGGCCCAGTGGCAAGATATAGATCAGGACCACTAGAGATGGCCCACATAAACATAGTCAGTGTCTATACAAAAGAGGACTTCTGTTTTGGAAGGGGTGAGAGAATTGAGAAGTGATGGTGATGCAAAAAAAAAAAAGGAGAAAAGAGCATCAATGAAACATTTTTAAAATACAGAGATGAGAGCAGAAGGAAGTTCAGAAGGGGACAAAGGTAACCTGAGAAGTTTGTTATTGTCCTATTGAGTTTAATATACTAGGTTCTGGTTAATGGAAATAATGAATCCTGTGGTTTCATTATTTGAATTTGTACTGCATATTTCCATTGAGTTGGAACTAGTTACCATATTTTATACAATTATAACTTCAAATAGTGAGAATTGGAATACACGTGACCACTTCATAGAATTAATTGTTCACACTAATCAGGACCTATGCCTTTTACAAAACTATGTTACAAAAACCTATAGTTCCATGTTTTTTCTTTTCTATTTTTTGTATATTAAAATATTCACTTTTAAGTTCATAATGAAAAAGAAAAATGTAAAGCAAGTTTAATTTGCTTATCCTTAATTTACAATCCTTAATTTACTCATGAAGTGATTTTAGAATACAAACAATAATGAACTGGCATTTTATAATATATTTAAAATGCAAGCTGCTTATTTTGAAAGCACACATATTCCCACCTCAAAAAAGACTCCCCTCTCCTACTTACCTTTTTAATCACCCAGTCTTCATCCTTTCCACAGCAATAAACTAGCCAAACTATATTAGCTTTCGATTTGTTTGGAGAATTACAGATACTTGAAACCAGTGTCTATGAAGACTCTCTTTGCAATCAGAACCTGCGTGTTAGTTACATAAAGAAGGTCATGAACAGGTCTGAACTATGCATTGATCTTTTCTACTTCTGCCATCCTTACCCTTCACAATGATCTCTGAACTCTCCAAACTTCATTTACTCTTTTTATCCATTTGCTAACATCCATCTCTCCTCTGATATCTAGATTATGTTTCAGGCAACTTTGGCTACCTACTTTCTTGTAATTTCCCTTACCTCCCAGGCATCTCTGTCTTCACTCTTTCTGAGTCTTCTATGTTGCCAAGACCAGTGGATTTGACTGTCTGGAGTCCTGGCTGGGTTTGATCACCTTCACTTACTAGATGTGTGATGGCTCTCTCTGGGTCTCAGTTTCCTCATTACTGTCCCCTCAGCTGCTGCTAGTGCTTCCTCGCAATAAAATCATGTTGTATTTATTTGGTATGTATGTATTACATATATATTATGTTATGTTACATTATGTTGTATTATATTACATTATATTATAAATGCATATGTGTGTATATAGTAGTATGTGTGCTGTATACCCTGATAAAGAATGTAAACACCTTAAGCAAAGGGGCAGTTCTTTCTTTGTATTCCCAGCACCTAACACAATGCCTGGGCTATGCTAATACTACTTAATACTCTTGAATGATAATGACCATTTTCCAACAGGAAAATATAAAGAGTTTTGTGAGTTATTAGAGTCATAGGCCATAGATCTATAGCTGGAAAGGATCTTAGATGTCATCTTGTCGGACCTCATCATTTCGCAAATGAAGATGAAGCCCAGAAATGTTTAAATGACTTGCCCGTGATCACTCACACAGGTAGTGATCATCGGGGAGAGATTTGAACCCAGGTCTTCTGTTTGCTTAGCCCTTTCCAGACGGCATCACCGCTGTCTTCTATGGTCTTTCTCCTACTTCCTTTTGTCTTTCCAGCCTTCATTCCTAATCCTTGTTTTCCTTCGCTCTCTTGCTACCCCGTTCCCCTGCGTGTCCTTTTTCTCCCTTTACTTCTCTTTGCTTTTCAGCCTAATCTACAAGTAAGTTCAGCTCTTTCACTCTCCTGCCCGCCTGCCTGCCCCTTCTGTGTGTCCCTGCCATGTGGTCCACCACTCCCGCCCATCAGTTCACTTCCTCCGGCCAATAGAGAGTGGAGGAGAAATCTGCTCAATGCTATTGATACATACATGACAACGCTCCGCCTCTCTCGTCCCGGCCACTGCAGCCTGCAGTCAAAGAGTGCAGCGCCTTCTCAGCAGGTTTCTCTACCTTACTGTCCAGGGCTGCATCTGCCGGAGCCACCGCGCTGGTCATTTTCTAAAGGGCTCTTGTAATCCCAGCTGGAGCTTGGTAGGGGGTGGGTCACGTGCCCAGGAGAAGGGCTGGAGGTGGAATCTCTCGGGAGACTTCTGCTCCTTCCTCAGAGTCCCAGCAGCCGGCATTGACAGCAATCGTCACAGCAATGGGGTGTTCCAGCAGCACCCAAACGCAGTCCCAGGAGAGCAGCAGGCCAGTGACCAAGACCGGTGTTACCAACGGACTGAAGCAAAGCGGTGAGTAGCCAAGACCCCCTCCCTCTCCTCCGTTCCCCCAGCTTACCTGGAGTCTCTATCTCCCATTTCCTACCAGGACGCAGAACCTAGGGAGCTTGGGCAGTAAAACTTCTTACCATCCTGTAGGGATGCCCCGAGGGAAACTTAGTAATGAAAGAGTTGCTCTGTCCAGATGGTTGGCTGAAAGGAATTCTGACATCTATTTCCAAACCTGGAAAAATGAAGAAAAAGATCTGGCCCCTAAAAGATTTTTTTTTCACCTGAAACCTGGTGACCTGTTGAAAGAGAGAGAGAGAGATCTGCCAGATGTTTTTCTTCCTTCCTTCCATCTTTCCTTCCTTCCTAGCCTATATCTTCCTCTCTCCCCCACCCACCTTGTAGTCCTCTGGACCAGGTTTCTCTGGGTTTCTGTGTAAGGAAACAATTTATGTTCGTTCATTTTTACCGTATTTTAAAATAATCACATATAATAATAAGTAGTGGAAATTTGTCTCAGTTGTGAAATAGGGTTAGCTAAGAACCTCCCTCTTTTTTCCTTAAAAGCGTGGCAGGGGGGAGTCATATCATAAATTGTACTTAGCATATGTATTTTTCCAAGAGCCAGCCAAGGTTAGTGGGTAGAGAGTGGGTCTGGTCTTGAGCCAGGAAGCTTGACAGGGTTTCAAGCTCTGCCTCTGACATATACTAGAGGTGTGAACCTAGGCAAGTCACAACTTCTGAGAACCTCCCATCCAACCCTCTGAGACCACAAGTTGTAAACAGAAGCTAAGCCCCATGATTATTTTAATTTCAAAATATTTGGAAGATCAGATTAAGATTAAAAACTTACATATAATTAGTTATATCTTGTGTTCTCTCTAAATTTTTCTTTAAGGAAAGACTGATTATATTATTCCAAAAAAATTTTTCTTCCCTTCTCTCAACTCTTTTAGTTTCCAAGTTAAATCTTATTTGAGAAGTTTTTGCATAAAAACTTGACGCCATCACTGTTATGGCAAGCAAGCCATTAACTTGACAACCAATGTTTTTAAATAATACAAATACACAACCAATATTTTCGTTTTTAAAGTATTTTCTGATATACCTAGTAGAGTACAATGGAAAGAACAAGGTAATTGTAGTCAGAATTCTTTCAATCTTCCCTAATACCTTCTTCAAAGCTAGATTTAGTTTAAAATCTTTATGTAGTTATAGTTTCTTTCTGCAAAAAAATGGACAAATTTCTCCTTTTGAGCTATCAGAAGAGAGAACAATAAATATCTCACTAATACTGATTTAATAATTATTAATGAATAATTCAGTCCTTTACTTCTTTGCTTAGGCTAGAAGACTCGTATTAGTTGGAGATTGTTTTCCCTACTTAAGGAAATGAACATAATTTGTATAAAGCTCCATATCACAAGATTCTTTGTTTCTTTGTTTTGTTTCTGGAATAGATATAATAAAACATAAGGAGATTTTGAAATAATTTTTTAAAAACGTATCCAAGAAATGGTTTCAATACTTTTGTTACTATGAAAAGGAGTTTGATATAGTGGAAAGTCCTGTATTTGGATGAAAAAGAATTCTGGCTTTGGATCTTTACTCAGTCTCTTCCTAACCCTATGACCATTGTTGGGTCTAGCTTGTTGAACATAAAATATTCAAGTTCAAATGCTCTTGGAGTCTATAAAATGGAGATCATAATTTTTGCACTACCCACTTCATAGGGTGGTGGTAAAGATTAGGCTGCATGTAATTTGTAAAATATAAATGATAGAACTATTGTCTCCTGGGAGCTGTTACTGTTGGGGTAAATAAGGCAAAATTATCTGTAGTTGGTACAATTTTTGACTCAACTACATTTAGCATCTTTTTCTCAATACCTATTAGTAAAATTGTGTAATCATAATTTGGCATTTAGGGTGTGCTTCCTTTGCTATTCTGCTTTCACATAGTTTGCATTGGAAGATATGCTCTGAAATCAATAAGACAATTTGGGAAAACCAATATAGCTAAGTAGGTAAATTATTTCAGATTAGTTTATATAATATGCCCATTCCCTAATGCGTGAATCGAATCAGTCAATAGATGGTTGTTCTGTGCATTTTGCTTTTGATCCACCAGGCAGGCAGTGGTTAGACATTTGACACTACTGTATATTCATCAACTTTTCAATTTCATGATCTTTGGAGGCCTGATAAATAATTTAAGCAAGGGAAACAGGCATTAAAATTTAAACAGGGGCAGCTAGGTGGTGCAGTAGATAGAGCTCCAGCCTTGGCGTCAAGAGGACCTAAGTTCAAATGCGACCTCAGACACATGACACTTACTAGCTGTGTGACCCTGGGCAAGTCACTTAACCCTGATTGCCTCACCAAAAAGCAAAAAAAAGAAAACATTTTAAACAAAGAATACTGAAACTCTGTTTAGTAATATTTAATTTTTAATTTTTTTCATCCATCACATTTCATATGACTCTCTACCCTTTTGCTGTAGAACAAAACATACTATACAAGCTGCCCCTTGATTTTGAAAGGTTATAATCTAAAGTTTTTATATCAGTAGTTTAGAATTTGGAACACATTTTACCACTGAAACAATGGCATACATTCAGTTCAAGAAACATTTAAATTTATCCAAGCTTTGGGAATGCAAAGATAAAGCAAATGAAATAGAGCTTTCTTCCAAGGAGGTTACATACTTTGGAGAACACAGTATGTAATGCATTTGAAGTATTGTACTGAGAGTATTTTAGAATCTACCCACTACTAATCATAGTTATACTGGAAACTCCATTTAGAGTTCTAGCTTGGGATGGCAAAAATCCTTCAAATTCCACAAATATTTATTAAATAACTATTTTTTTCCAATTAATCAACAAGCATTTATAAATACTTATTTTGTCTTTTCAGAACACTATTTAGATACTGGGGAAGGTACAAGATACAAAGATTAGATACAACATAGTCCCTGTCCTCATTGAACTTATTATTGAACTTAGCAAGCAGTAGAACTATTGGATTGGATTGGATTTGGTAAAAAATCAGCCCTTTCTGTCCCAAATGCAGAGCAATCACCCCTTTGGCTGAGCTCAGATGTGTAGAATCTTCAGACGCTTCACATAGTAGGCATTTAATAAACGTATGCTAGGTTGAATTGCATTCAGATGATTTCACTTCAATAAATATCTTAAGTCCTACCAAGTGCAAGACACTGTATTGGACCTGGAGATATAAAAGACAAAAAATTTTGTATTGCTTCCTTTTTTTCCCCCCATTTTTCAGGTGGAGAATACCTGAGCCCTCACTTCTGCTGGGTAATTCTTGTTATACATTCTCTTATTCATTCAGTAGCTCTTTCACTGTCCTCTTTTCTGAAGCCCTCAGCCTCATCCCATTTTTCATATTTCCCATATAACAGATGACTTAAATTCCTACTTTACTGAGATTGAGACCATTTGATGGGAACTTTGTCAACTTTATTCAAAACTTGACTTCATTGTCACCTATTCACTCCTTTCTTCTGGTCATAAAAAGAGGTAGCCCTAGTTAGTTAATCAGTCAACAAGCATTTATTAAGCACTTACTATGTGCTAGGCACTATGCTGAGCATTAGGGATACACAGAAAAGTAGAAACAGTCCCTGCCCTCTAGAATATCACATTCTAGTGGGGGAAACAACATGTAAATAACTAGGTACAAACCAGATAGATAAATGGAAGGTAATCTCAGAAGGGAAGATACTAGCAGATGGGGTGACAGGGTGTCTTCCTAAGTAGGTAGAATGTGATATGAGCCTTAAAGGAAACCAGGCAAACTGAAAAGCCAGGATGAAGAAGAAGAGCATTCTAGGTAGGGGGAAAGGCACAGAGGCAAGAGATTCAGTGTTATATTCAAGAGACTATAGTGAAAACCAAATTCTTAGTTTTGGGCGCTCCTTGTTCTGCACTGAAAGTCTGAGTAGTTCAATGTAAAAAGTACTGGATTTGGAGTCAGGTAGATCTGGATTCAAATTCTACCTCTGTGTGACCCTTGGACATTCACTTAACCACTATAGGCCTCAGTTTCCTCATCTGTAAAATGGAAGTCACAATACGGTGGCTGCCACATGGGGGCTCCATGGCTCAAATGAGATGGTGTACATAAAAGGTTTTTTCAAACTATAAAGTGTTATGTAAGTATCATCATTTGTCATTTTTCTCATGTTTTGGGCACATATTAGATGCTTTACAAATGCTTATTGGTTTGACTTGTTTTCATTGAAAGTGTCCTCAATTTGTACATTAGTTATTTTCATGAATATTTTACAAGAGTAAATTTGACTAACATTTTGAATAATAATTCATGATGTATTTATTACCTTCTGGTTTGTAAATACTTGTTAATAATATTGTAGAAATTTTTTCATTCTTGGGAATTCTTATCGAATAGATGCTAATCTTTATTTTGAGATACAGTGAACCTTATTTTCTTGTGGAAATTTAGGTGGCTTAGACCTGCAGGTTAATGTATGTTTTTTTTTTTGTTTGTTTGTTTGTTTAAGTGAGGCACTTGGGGTTAAGTGACTTGCCCAGAGTCACACAGCTAGGAAGTATTATGTGTCTGAGGTTGGTTTTGAACTGAGGTCCTCCTGACTCCAGGGCCAGTGCTCTATCCACTTGGCAACCATGTTAATGTATGTTAATGAAATGCCTACTATACTTTCTCTCTTTTCCTCTCCTCCTCCAGGAGAAGGGTTATTCTATAAGTATTATCCTTCTTTCATTTGAGGATTGCCTTATTAAATGAATGTGATCAGTTGTAGATGCTGTCACTTCTTTATATTCTTTTCAGATCAGCCACAGGAGCCATTAGCAACAGTTCAAGAGGAGGGTTAGAATGGGACATGGAAATGCAGTTTCCTCCCCATAGGAACCCTACAGGATATTGCACACTTTCTAATTGGATGAAGAATTATCCAGGCTGAATCTTTACTTTTTTATATTTATAGGTACAGGCACAACTTAATTTCTTGCTGCA